CCTGCATTACCTCCTGCCTGCAGTGCATTTCCATTCGGAGGTCAACTCAAGCTCCGAGTGACCCAGTTCTGACCTCCTCCTATTCACCACCAAATCAGATCACCCTTCCTGTTTCTCTTTTTCTGCTAACAACACAGCCACGTGAGGAGCTATTGAAGGAAACGGGGCTGTTTGTGAACAAGACTAAATTGGAAAGGGGGACATGGGATCAGTCCTGCAGAACAGATAATAGAGAGACTATCCAGAAGGCTGTACAAGAGATTTAACAGAGGCTGATTTAGGCTTGATCTAGAAGAAGCATGAAAATGAAAAGAACTATTCAGGACTAGAATTGAAGATGCCCAGGGACATAAGGAAGCAGAAGTTGAATGTTGAATGGCCACAGATCAGGGAACCACAGAATGGCTCCTGTGGGGATGGCCATAATATATAGGTTAAGAACAACTGTCACTCAGGGCCCCTGGGTGGCTCAGTCCATTATGCATCCAACTTCGGCTCAGGTCATGATCTCACAGTTTGTGGGTTCGAGCCCCACATCAAGCTCTGTGCTGACAGCTCAGAGCCTGGAGCCTGCTTCGATTTCTGTGTCTCCCTCTCTCTCTCTGCCCCTCCTCTGCTCACGCTCTGTGTCCATTTCTCAAAAATAAACAAACTTTAAAAATTTTTTTAAAAAAGAACAACCGTCACTTAGTATTCAAGGGGCTTCTGTAGGCAAGACTACTTTGCAAACTGTAGAGAACAGGTCTTGAACCTGAAGCCTCCTCTTTTATTTAAATGTATACTCTATCATAACTTTTAATGGGTCTTATAAATTACGCTTAAGGATGGAATTTGGGAGGAAGAGGACCTGATGCAATTAAAGACAGTAATAAACTATAGATTTGATCGTGCTAAACCCTTCGGTGGATTCTTCGTGTTCTTAAGATGTAAACTGTAAGCCCTTTGGTGGTCCTCAAGGCCCTGCCCTGTCTGTCACTAACTTACGTTGGGCCCCTGTCCGTCTCTTGCCACAGGATCTATCTTGTAAAGATAGATCTTTACACTGGCCTTTGTCCCTCCACCTGGTGTATCGTCTTCATCCTTTGCAAAATGCTCACAGATTACTTCCTCAAGGTGGCCTATCCCAATCCCCAAGCCACATCTCCCTTCTAGAAGTTACCCCGGGCACCCTGCACTTTTTCTCACTGGTTGCTATTTTCACCGTTATAATGAGTTGTGGAATTGAATGAGCTGTTAATGTGAGCCCTGCGAGGACAAGGCCCGTCTTACTTTTGCTCCCAGCTCTTTCCCTAACACCTAGTATAGTGCTTGGCACATAGCCGCTGCTCGCAAAATGCCTGTCGAGATGATGAATACAGGAAAGAAAAAACCCCACAAAATTCACAGAGTGCAAGTTGGACATGGCCACTTTCAGTTCCCGGATTCTCCATTTCAGTGATTCTCATTTTAGGGACACAGAAACCTAGGCTTCATCATTATTCATTGTTTCCTGTGCTTTCATCCTTCATGCAATAAGACCTTAAATCCTGTTGGCTGTTGTTGAAAAATGTCTCTTGGAGGGCTTCTCCCTTCTATCCTATGGGAGCTCCCTGTTTCTGCTCTCACCTTCTCCAGCCTGTCCTAAGGATCACTCTCTGTCTGATGCCAACTGGGTGCCCAGTCCTCTCCTGTAGAGCTTCCTGAAAATATGCCCCCAGAGGTCCCATCGGTGGGTCTGGAGTGCGGTTTGGGTATGTGTGCTTTTTGCAAAGCTCCCAGGTGAGTCTGAGGTGCTCACTGTTATAAGCAGTCCTCTCCTTTTATCATCACCCTTGACCTTGCTCTAACACCTGCTGGGACTCCCTGTTGCTGTCTGGAGCATTACCTTTCACACTTTTCAGCCCAGCGGGACTGTAGGGTCTTGGATCTTTATCCAAAGTAGTCTTCCGAAATGTCTCATGTTACCTTTAAAAAGCCAAGCAGTTTTTCTCTGCGAGTGCACAGTATATCTGAACACACTGCCGCCCTCCCCCCAGAAATCTGTGCACAGTGAACCTCTAAAAGATGCCAGTGTTTATCTTGGGGCTTCCCCTTCCCTACCACGCCCTGAACTCTCTGTCTCTTCTGGGGCTTCTCACAACCCTCACAAAAGCCCTGTGGAGTAGACAGCTGAGACGTCTCCCCATTGGACAGATGCAAAAACTGAGCTTCAAAAACATGTCCCTGCTATTCCCCCTGCCTGAAAGAGACCAGCTCAGCATCACCCACCTGTGAAAACATCCCTGCCACATTCCCCCCACCTCCTCTCTGATTTGGGGTCACCACCACCCTCTTCTGTCTTGGCTTTTAGAAGATCGTACTACAATAACTCAAATGCCCCTCCTGTGCGTATATGAGTCCTGTGGTCTGAGATGGTCTTGTCCCCTCACTTCCAGTGTCTCACACATAACAGATTTCACCAGGAGTCAGGCAGCCTACGTTTGGTGGTTTTGTTTTGTTTTGTTTTTTTTAGTGTTTATTTATTTTTGAGAGAGAGTGAGAGAGCATGAGCCGGGGAATGGGTAGAGAGAGGGAGACATAGAATCTGAGGCAGGCTCCAGGCTCTGAGCTGTCAGCACAGAGCCCAATGTGGGGCTCAAACCCTCAAACTGAGAGATCATGACCTGAGCCAAAGTGTGACGTTTAACCGACTGAGCCCCCCAGGCACCCCGACAGTCTTCGTTTGTACATGAGGTCCTTTAATCCTCACACGATCATGAGGTCCATGCATTTTAGCCTTCCTGTGCATAAAATATGTCCTTTGTTTCATTGGGGGGTTGGGGGGAGTTCCATCCAAAACTGCTGCCTCCAGCTACGAGTGAAGAGTGTACAGTGTGGGGCTTTTCTCTTCTAAAATCCCAGCCAGGGCAGGTATATGAATTATAAAACCATGAATATGCTTTTGTATTAAAAGTGTATACCGAGATCTAGTTCTGCAGTAGGCCAGTAAGTACATTTCCTGAGAAGGAATGTGGCTTGTGGTAGTATATGAATGCAGATAATTTTTGATGTATTTGTGATACTTATCTTTTTTTGACCACTCCACTCTCACCCCTCCAAGGGAAGTCAGTGAGAATGTTTATCGTGGCTTTGCCCTCTGTTGCATTTTAAAGTTATTTCCTGGAATTTACTTTCAGTAGATAACTAAAAATTTGTGGTATATATATATAAAATATACATATTTTAGTAACCCCATTTTACAGATGAAAAAAACGAGGCTTAGAAAGGTCCAGTATACTGATACAGCCCCACCTGCCTCCAAACCTGTTTTTTACAAAATGCGGGAGGGTCATCCCCAAGTCAGTTATAGGAAGGACTTGCTAGATAAGCTACAAGGACTTACTAGGTAAAGATTTCAAGGTGGAGGCAGAGAGGGTGGCCGGAAGCAGAGGAGGGAAAGGGGCCAGACAGCTGGCATGAGATTTTATTTCTTACCCTGCACTCTCCGCCCGCCGTGGTCCTCAGAGTTCTAGTGTTGAGAGTTCAAGAAGCTTCCACCCCCCCCACCCCGAACAAACCAAGAGGGCCCAGGCAGGTCTTGTCCTCCACCTAAAATTCCATTTGGGGAATCCCAGCCTCGCCCCGAGTGAGGGTGGAGGTGCAGAGCTGGCCAGGCGCGATTAACCTCCCTGGCGCAGCTGTCGGGGCACAGCAGGGGCAGAATGTGGGGCAGAATGTAGCACCACATTGCAGGCATTCCAGCTGTGTCCTGCAGGAGGCAAGCTCCAGGGCTTTTTATAGCCCTCTAAGAACCCAGGGGAAAACTGATCTCTTGAGAGAGAGAAGCAGGGCACGTGGCTTTTCCAGGCACCATGCCCTCAAACGTGCAGTCCCAGATGCCCACAGTTCAGATTAGGCTGAGAGTCGTGGCTAAGCGAGCTGTGTGGAGCAGTGTGAGCATGCCCGCTGTCCCGGAGACAGAGATCCCAACCAAACCCAGTTCCTAGACTCCCCTGCGTGGACTTTATAATACTGTCAGCTCGAAGTAGTATAATGCAGGGATCGGCACACCACCCCTGTGGACCAAATCCAGCCTCCCACCTCCGTTTGTAAATAAAGTTTTATTGGAACACAGACCCACCCATTCTTTAGGTATTATCTCGGTCTACAAGACTGAGTTGAGTAGTTGTAATAGAGACCGTATTTGGTGGCCTGCAAAGTCTAAACTATGGACTGTTTGTTCCTTTATAGAAAAACTTTGCCAATCCTTGGATTAGACTATAGAGAGTTTGGGAGCATCTCCCTAGAGCACTGTGGTAAGAAGGATCCTAAGGGTGTCCAGACTAAGAAATGAAGCTCTATCCTTTGGACCATACAAGAGTGTGTATTTAGGACTAGTGTTGGAAGGACCCCAGAATGCCATTTACCCATGTTTTTCAAACTACTTTGAGTCCCAGAATCCTTTTGCAAACAAGATCTTAAGGAATACAGCTGCTCGGGTTGAAGTGGGAATGAGAACAGAGTACAGCTCATTCCATCCCTCCCACTCCCAAGGAAGCTATATAGTTCCCATGACTCCACTAGGAAAGCGTTTGAAAATTACCTATCTAATCCTATGTCTCCTGTTTTACAACTGGGGAAACTGAGGTTCAAGAGGCAGCATCTTGCCTAAGGCATATGATGGACCCCGGGTTGGCTTTCCACAGAACTACTAACATGGCTGTGAGGTATCCACAGGGCATAGAGGCAATCTCTGCCAGGGAGAAAAAAATGGCCATTGGCCGTGGGGGCCTACAAGCCGCCATTAGTGAGTGGGAGGCCGTGACATGCCCTCTCTGACCAGCAGCCCACAAGGCTAATCAGGGCTGTAATGTGGCCAGAACACATTGCTACTACCCGCCAGGCTTCACAGTGGTTAAGCAAAGCTTGGGAGGTTTTTTTTTCTTCTTCTTCTGAGAACACAAGAGCCAAAACCCTACAATGAAATTTGCATTGGATTTTATTTTTTAAAAAAAACATTTATTAATATGGAAACACATCTTTTAAAAATGAGAATATATCTTACAGTTGGTAGATCAATTAGTTACTTTTCTGTTTGTTTTTTCCCCCAAAAAGCTGTTATTCAACAGATAAAAACATCTTTAAATCAGTGCCATCTTAGACTGGAGAAATTATGATAATTTATGCTGCAGCTTTCTTTTGAAGATGGAATCAGATTTATTCATTTGTAGAATAAATATTTATTCTTCCTGCCCATTCTTGTTGAAGGGTTTTCTGAGAGCAGATGCAGCTGATACGAAACCAAGGGGAAGTGTTTTTTTTTTAGCTCTACTTGAACCCCGAAGAAAACTGATCTAGGAGTGTGCCGAGAAGCCAGAGAGACTGATCGTGTTTCCTCACCGCCAGCCAGCAACCAGGTGCAGCACTGAGGGGTTACAGAGGGGGGGCTCAGGGTCCCTGAACCCCAGGGGCTCCTGACAAAGCAGAGAAAGTAAGATTCGATCACCAGTGCCCGTGACATGAGGTCCTATCTGCTCAGTGCCCATCAGAGAATATGTTACAAGGACCAGAGGGCTCAAGGGACACTTTCTAGCCAGGAACCTCAGAGACACTGAGGGAGGCAGCTCCCAGGTGGAGAAGACGCCAGAGTGGAAAGAAGAAAGGCCCAGAAGCGTGCTCAGGGTACAATGGGGTGGGCCATGCCTGCAGCCCGGAGAAGCAGGTGGAGGTCAAATGGAGCCTCCGTCCTTAGACAGAGTAGGGCTTTTTCCTCCAGGTTCCCAGCTGGGTGTGTCCCAGTCCCTGAGAGGCTGGTTGCTCAGATTTGCAGCTAATAATAGATGCAGCATAATATGGGAGCTGGGTGCACTGGACGCGGTGTCAGGTTGCCTGGGCTTTGAATCCTAGCTCTACTCATCCATTTAATCCCCCCGAGTCTCAGTTTCTTCAACTAAAAATGGAGATAACAATCACCCATCTCCCTGTGGGGATAATTGGATTCATGCACGGAAAGCACTCAGCGAATAGGAAGCATTCAATTAAAAAAAAAAAAACCAGCTAATACTTAAAATACAGGTTTGTAAATGATCGCCTTACTTAATGAATTCGAATGGAGTCCCAGTTCCGTCCGTACCACTTTCCCTCTGGCTCCTGGCTTCTGTCCATCCTGGGAAGGGACAGAATGACGGAGGAATTAGGGGTAAGCCACAGGGAGACAAGCAGCACGTGAAGGTCTGGTGTCACAACGGAAACTGGCGTCAGGGCTCTGGGGAGCTATTGACTTGTGAGCAGAAGGGGGATGATGTCAGTGTTGCCATTGAGGGAAATGGTTAGAGCCAGCAGTGACAACAATGTGACAGTTTGAAAGGAGAACATTGGAAATAAGTGACCAGTGAGGAGCGGCCCATGAGCAGTTTACCATCAACTCACCTTCGTGTTTGAGTTAAAAACAAGGAAATAGAAAACTTCAGACTCCATCCATTTTCAAAATGAGTTGATTGTGTACAGCCGTTGATCTCATGTGGGAGCAGAGATGTTTGTCTGGGGCCCTTCCCGATTCAAGACACCCCGCCCCAGGACCTTCTACCATCATTTCCTTGGAGCCTGGCCCCAGCCCTGGAGGCGAGAATCACCCCGAAGGTCTCCCAGAGTCTGCCCCAGGATGGCTGGGCTCCCTGTGGACTGAAGCCCTGGGCACCTGGTCGGGACCCAGACCAGGGCTGGCACTGGGAGACTTCTGCAGGCAGGGGAAGGGAGGGGAAGGGAGGGGAAGGGAGGGGGAGGAGCTTCTACCTGGGTGGCAGTCAGGGTGGGCCTTGTGGGCCTGATCTTTAGCCCCCCACCTAGAGTGTCTGGGCGAAGCCCCGGGTGACGCTTATGTGATTTCTAACAACACCAGTACAATAACCAACCTTTATAGAAGGGCTCGGGCGCTGGTATAGTTCCAGCCCTCCCTGTACCACCTCTCTTTGCGCCCGCCACCGCCTCTGAGGGGAGCGCTCTCATTATCTCTGTGTCACAGAAGAGAAGTCTAAGGTGACATCACCTGCCTGGGGTCCCCAGGCTAGGGAAGGCAAAGCCCAGGTTTGACTCCAGGTGTCCTTCACAACCATTTGCCCAACGCCTCAATTCCCCACTGCACTGGCCCTTTCCCCACCTTCCTGCCAAAGGGCTGTCAGCCCCTCTTGGAGGGGACATCTGCCTCTCTTCTTCGTTGAGATTTCCAGAAGTTCTATACAGTAAACCTGATAGTGTGGTCTTAGAGCCACCCCCCCCCCGGTCCCGGTCTGCCTCCCAGTGCCCCCCGGTGCCCCCGGTGCCCCCGGTGCCCCAGGGAACAAGTTTGCTCCACTCCCTCACCCCACGAGTCCGTCTGCTCTTGGAGCTGGTTGTCAGAGGCAGGATTTACAGCCTTCTCCCTAGTCTTTGGTCCTTCTCTGAATTCTGGGTTGTCAGTTAATGTGTACCCAGTGCATCTGCTGTGTCCCCGCTGCTGTGCTGGGCACCGGGCCACAGTGGCGCCATCTCTCCCCTCATGGTTCACAGTTTAATGAAGAAGAATACTAAAGTCACCTGCTCTGGAGGGTAGAACAGGATGGCCTCACCTGTCTAGGAAAGCAGGACAGACCTCTTGGAGGAAAGGGCATCTACACCAACTCTCAAAAGCGGAGTGGGTGCTATCTGGAGAGTGGGAGAGACTTTAAATAACAATAAGTTAACTTGGGATGCATCAGGCATTGCTGTGAGCACTCTCTAACACTCCACTGCATCCGCACAGCAACCCTGTAAGGTGTGGGTATTATCCTGGTCCCCATTTTGCAGATGAGGACACAGAGAAGTTAAGCAACCTGCCCAAGGTCACACAGTGAGTCTTTGATAGCAGTTGGAGGAGAACAAGCCAGGCAGGAGAAATATCATGAACAAAGAACACTGGGGTGGGGTCTCAGATATTAAAAATAGGTAAGAAATAGTAAAAAAAAACACAAAAAACATTGAACGTGACAAAGATAAACACATACTGTGTTCCCAATAGTGCAGCCTGATGGCAGCTACAGGTGCTTTTCTGGTTCCTTCACAGGCAGAGGCTTCTCTGAGCTGTCAGCCTCATCCTTGGCCTTCTGAGCGGGAGGGCTGTTCAGTCACATCTCTTGAATCCTGCAGAGTTCTGTTGTTTGGGAAGAGGGGGAGCAGATAGCATAGATACGATCAGTCACAGTCTGCTGACTGAGAAAACTTCAGGGCTCCCACTTTTCACAGTGTCAGACTTGAGTCTCACAACAGACCTGAGAGGTAGAGAAAGGCAGTTGTCATTAGTCCAGTTTAACGTCAAGGAAATTGAGACTCTGAAACATGAAGCAACTCATCTAAGGCCACACAGCCAGGAAGTGTGGAGCTGGGGCTGGAGCCCTGGGCTTGTGGCTCTAGATTCTGTGTTTTCTCCTCTATACCAAAAACACAGTGGACAGTGAGAAGCCAGAACAATTCCTACCTGGCCCTTGTGACCTCCAGAGAGTTCCTTAGCCTCTCTAGGCCTCAGTTTCTTCTCAGTAAAACTGGGATAAGAAGAGCTCCTACCATATATGGCTGTCGCAAAGATTGGATGAAGTAACAGGCACAGAGTGGCGGCCATAGAGAACATTCCCATAATGGAATATCATACAACACAATGAACGAACACGACAGACAGCAATATGGGTCAATCTTGGTAGTATAATAGTAAAGAAAAAGTCGCAAAGGATTACCTACAATGCTATACCCTTTTAATAAGGTTAAAAACAACCACAGATTTTTTTTTTTTTAATTTGTGGGCGTACCTCGTTGCACTAGCACTAAACAGAAGGAAAAGCGAGACTGTGACAAATAGAGCATTCAGGATGGCAATCAGCCCAGGTAAGGGAGGCAAAAACATGGGATCATAGTTATATATCAGCTACAATCCAGACCCTGGCGTTTGCCGTGAATGGTAGATTTGTGGGTGCTTCCTACATTAGCAAAATGACTGATTCCATAAGTCAATAACTACATAAAAGTGGAGCATGTTTGAACTAATGACAACAGTGTCTCATGAAGCAAGGATTAGGATTAACTCAATGTTTATCCACCTGAAGTTCTATTTATAAAAAGAAAGAAAAGTGTTAGGCTCAGGGCCCAGCTCTTGGGACCTATTCAGTAAATGCTCCTTGTCATTCTTGGATATCTTGATTATTATCTGCCTTGTCTGCACACCCCCACCCAGAGGTCCTCAGTGTCCGCCCCAGGCTATTGGTGAGATGGGTCCTCAAACTCAAACTTCTCAGAAACAGAAAGGCCTGCTATATGCAGGCCTCAGGCCTGGCACCCATCCTGTGAATGGACACCCGTAGGGAAAGGTCATGAGGCGCTCACTGCAAGGGTCTAGCAATGGTAGAGCACCGCTGCTAGAAGAAGGCCAGAACATACAATACAGCAGCTGAAAGCATAGGCTCTAGAGTTAAGTCTAGGTTTGAGTCCTGGTTCTGCTGGCTGTGTGCCTTTAGGCAAATGACTGGGCTTCTCTGAGCCTCACTTGGCTCATGCGTAAAACAGAGGGTAAAAATGTACCTACCTCACAAAGCCGTGTGAAATTAAGTGAGGTGATCTATGCAAAATGCTTAGCACAACATCTGGAATATCACTTAGGAGCTTAAAAAATACGACCTGCTTTTATCATCGGGTATCCCAGGCCACTCCCAGGACTGCGTCGTCTGTCCCCCCAAGCACCTAGTGAAGGAGGTGGTGCGGATTGCCGCAGGAGGAAACAGCTGCCATCTTGCGTGGGGGGCGAGCCTGTGTGTCACAGTTTTCCACTTCCTCCTGGAACCATTTCCTTTGTGAGCTAAATAGGGAGGAATCTGCAGACAAAGGAACAATTCTGGGAGAGCCCAGCCCCACAGCCAAGAGCTCTTTCCTCGGAAGTCAGTTGCTTGGCCCGCCCCCTCCTGTCTGGAAATGGCTTCCCTGGTGGCCCAGAGTGAGGCTCCGCTGGTGGATGATGGGGGCCTGGGCAGAGCTGCTGCTAGAAAGGCCATTTAAGAAGCAAGGCTTCCCTGAGCCTGTCACCCAGGCCTGACTCGTCAAAGAGAGTCCCCAGAAAGGCCCCCATGACCTGCTTCCCCACTGACCTGCCACCTCCCTGACTTCTGGCCTCCCTCCCTGTCTTCCCGAAATGACCGTTGATCAGAGAAGAGTGCTACCCGACCATCCATACTAATAACCCCCACGATTTACAAACCCTTCCCCCTCCCCCCGACCCAAACTGACAGGTTGGCATCCCACAGCCCTGCTTATAGGAGAGGAAGGTGACGCTCAGTGGGGTGAAATGCCTTACCCCAGATTCCACACTGGCGGGCGAGAGGCATAGCTCCCAACCCCTGAACTCTCCCCTTCCTCTTGCCCACTTCCCTCCCTTAGGATTCTGTATTTCTGGCCCGTGGAGTCAAACCTGCACCATTCTCTTCAGCATAAAGGACATTGGGTTTCCTGCACCAGCTGCAGTGAGCACACGCAGAAGCCTTCCAAGGTGCCTCCCCTGCCCTGCCTCCCACGGGAGCTATATTTAACTCCAGGAAGGCAGTCAGCACCGAGGCCAGGCATGGGCTCTTGGCTCTCTCGGTTGCTCCCTCTTCCTTCTTCCCCAGCCCACGTGAGCCATGGTCTTCCCCCAGGTCTCTGGGACAACAGGAAGTGTTTGTTTTAGTGATCAACAATGCAGGTCCGACCAGTGCAGACCATTGTGCCCACTGTTTGGGCTTCACTCGGTCTCCAAGAGAAGCGCTTGTGAATTCAGAGGAAGGAAGTGGGACATCCCCAGGGCCCCGAGGGGGAGATCTGCAGCAACCTGGAAGAGACCGGTGGGGTGGGCAGGGGAAGGGGAGACTCCTGCACCTGCAAAGTGAAGCTGCTGGTCTGCAGGCATCACCTGTGGGTGGGGGGGGCTCCTCTGCGGAGTTGACCCAGAGCCGCCAAGAAGGAGCCCGGGGGCGGGCACCCCCGAAGAGCCCCTCACTGCTCTTCTTGTTCTGCAACCTGTACAAGGGGCCTTGCCCACCTTGTCCTAAGAATTAAATTGTGTAAATGATCCATGTAAATCTCTTACAGCAGACGATGACATAGAACGGCAATGTACAATACTCTAAATTGCTAACATTTTCTGAGAACTTACTATGTGCTGGACGCCGCACTAGGCACATTGTCACCCTTCCCACTGATGGAAGTACATAGGCTCATAGGTCACGGGTGATGTACATGAGGCCCGGGGCAGTTACATAGGTGGCCCAAAGGTGCACAGCTAGGAAACAGGGGGGACAAGACTTGAACTCAAGTAGTTTGGGTTGCTTAATATATGTCAGTCATGAGTATTGCCCAATTTATATGGTAGGGATCAAAATCCATCGACTACAAAATGTGCATCACTACATCTGTTGGCAGCCAGACTCACACGAGGGTTACAAGCTCAACCAAATAGGGTTTGGAGAGCTTAGCCAAGTAAGAAACTGGACTTCTGCTTCCTTTTGTTCCTCAGAACTATTGTTACCTAGTTTTTTTCTTTTTTTAGGCATCTTTTTACTATGCTGGTCCACTATGATAGACATGGTTTTTAAATCATATTGACTAGGGACAACTGGGTGGCTCAGTCGGTTGATTGTCCAACTTCTGCTCAGGTCATGATCTCATGGTCCCTGAGTTGGAGCCCCTCACTGGGCTCTGTGCTGACAGCTCAGAGCCTGGAGCCTGCTTCGGGTTCTAGATCTCCTTCTCTCTCTGCCCCTCCCCCACTCGCACTCTGTCTCTGCCTCTCTCTTTCTCTCTGTCAAAAAATAAACATCAAAAAAAATTCTTTTTATAAATAAAATAAATTGTACGAAATAGCTCCTAGACTGTCAACTCTTAAGTTTGCAAGCTTTCATTCATTCCTCAAATACCTGAAACATGCGCTCTGTGTCAGGCGCTAGCAAAAGCTGGTGCTGTACCTGCCCTTGTGGAGTCCAGGCTCAAGTGCGGGACACTGATGTTGATTGAAGAAATACGTAGTTAACTGTAACATTCCACCATGGCCCATACCGCAGGGAGAGCAATGCTACCCTAGGGTAGGGTAGGAGGGGGACAGATGTAATGGAAAAGATGGGAAACTTCTCTGAGGCAGTCCTGAGGGATGTGAGAGCTGACGAGAGCATTACTGGATGGGAGGAGAAGGGGGTTGTGACAAGCAGAGGGAACAGCACATGCAGAGGCCCTTGGTTGAGAGGGTGAGGAAAGGAGCAGGAAGACAGTCTGGGGGAGGTCTCTCTGGCAGGGCTCACAGAATTGGGAGGCCACCAAAAAGATTCCTCTCTGTCCCTTCCCTCCACCCAAACTCTGAGGTCGCACCCGCTAAGTGGACTGCTTTCCTTTCCAGGGCGACCTGCCCTGCCCCCCGAACAATGGGTCACACCTCATGAATGTGCTAGCTTGTTAAAGCACGGCATACAGAAAGTCATCTCTTGAAACGTGATCAAAGACTATGAAAGTAGCACACTGGTTCTTTCTCCAGCTCAGGAGCCTTTATGAGAGGGGAAGTGGGTTCTGTTGCCATTTGGAAAATAAGAAAGAAAATTTGAGGAAACAAACAAACGAAGCATGTGAGTCCTTTGTAAAAACCATGTACTGACAACTTTCCTGTTATTCATGTTTAAATCAGGCTCGTTGCATATTCTCTGACTTTGAAAACAAAGAAGGATGAGTTATCATTGTCCTAGAGGCTTGTCAAATAAGGAAGGGGGAAAGAGAAATTATCTCCCCTCCTCCCACTGCTTTTCATTTACTGAAATTGTAACTTGCAAGCTGTTTCCAAGTTTCCAAAGTCTAAAAGGAACCCAGGAATGAGATCTCACAAGTCAGAGCGCCCACTGGGCTGACCAGGTAGGTGCCCAAACAGAGGTTATTATTCCCGTGGTTTGCAGAAGGTGAATTATTCCCTTCTCTTTCTGTTATGGAAATTAGACTCTTTACCTTTGAGATCTCTAAATAAATCCAACCTTCCCTGTGTTAGAACCCATACAGGCTGTGATAAAGACCTTTTGCTTGAAGGCTTCGTTCAGGCTGTGTCTGGTGTACAGAAAGGAGGCAGTCCTGGGAGCAAGTGACAGAGTTTTTCTTGCCTGTGGCTTATTATCTGCTCTGTGCCGTCTCATTTTGATTTAAATTAAATGGGGAGGGTGGAGGAGCAGAGAGAAAATTGATCTTAGTTGGGTATTCACCAGCAACAATAAGCACTTAACGGTCTGATCTTAAATACATTTTAAAATAGATTTCTAATTTTATTTGGCAGACTTCTTTGCATCCCAAAGAACAATTATCACCCATCTTGGATTCCTGAGCCTGTCTGTCCCACTTAGTGAAAGATTGAAGTTTTATAAACAATGATTAAACCATTTCTTCCTGTGTTTTTTTCCTCACTGGAATTCACTGTACCTCCCCAAGGCTCTGCTAAACCAAACAAGATCAATGAAATGTATTCGTGGTTCTAAATAAACCTCAGACAAAAGATAATGCTGCCCTGATGCCCCGGTCGGTCCTCAGAAAGCAGACGGGATCCAGTCCAGGAGTGACGATAGGAGGGACTGGTTAGGAATTGGTGAACGAGATGCATCCTGACTGGGGACAGCAGGGCCAGGATTCCCCTCCCACTGGAAGATGTCCCCCGACCTGGTATGGGGGTCCTTGGGGCTGTGAACTCTCTGAGCAAAGGGACTGCACCACCACCTACTGCCATAGGTACCCTAAGCTCAGTGTCAGGTCCAGCGCCATCAGTAGTCAATGTGGTGAGACTCACAGGGTCCCCCCGGTGTCCTCCTGTCCCCAGATAACCCCTCCTTTGTGCCCCCACACCTGAAACCCCCTGGATGTCACCTATGAATGGTGAGGCACCTGTCCAGTTCACTGAGCCCCATATGCATGGCTTCATTTCATCTTTACAATGACCTTGTAAACCAGCTTCTGTGATTACCCCACAGTCTCCAGATAAAGAACTGGAAGCTTAAGAAATCTCCCCGGGGCCACAGGTGGACATTGGGCACAGCCTATGCTCCTCACCATTCTTTGACAACCCAGCTAAGCAGCAGCAAGCTTTGTGTGAATTTAACGCTAGGGACTTTTATTTTCCACTCTTGTGTGTCCACGGTTAAGTCAGACAACCTCTTGGACGCTCACTTTCCACGTCTTTAAAATGAGAAGGTTGCACTAGGTCATCAGAATTTCACCATCATTAAATAAATGCTTAGCGGGCAGCTGGTAAGATTGAGACACAGTTCCCGTCCTCACGGAGCTTTCCCTACACGGCTTATGGCCGATCTGTCGCCACATCCTCTCTGACCAGTGCTCTGGAGTCTGCGTGCTTCCAGGGAGTATCAGGAAACAGCACCCATAACGATAATGGAGCTGTGATTGAGTGAGCGCCGGCCCAGGCACAGCGTGACTGCCGGGCTCTGCCAGCGTAGGCATTTGGCATCCGACCGTTGTCACGTTACAGATGAGAAGGCCAGGGCTCAGAGCTCCCTCACCTGCCGTCTCTGTACAGCTC